AGGCTACTTGCGGTGGGGAGCACTCACATCCTTATTCCCAGTGTCCTGGATCCTAGCATTGCACTGTGAATCCAGGGTCACACACTCTAGATCCAGCCTTTCTGGAAAAGCCCCACCTATGACATTGCCTAGGCTTTGGGGGGACATCTAGACACAAGCCATAACACAGGCACAGTTGCCTGATGCAGCAGTTGGGTCTATACAGAAGAATAAAGGGTGGTGGAAGGCATGTGTGCAGCCACTGAACAGAACAGAGGACGTGTGAGACACAATGGACTTCAGCCACTGCCAAACTGAAACCCTGGTGAGGTCACTAAGGAAAAGGCTTCCAGGCCCAGGGCTGCTGTGGGACAGAAAATATAAATAAGGCCCGAAGAACAAAGTCACATGACACTGTGCAGAAAATAACTATTACATGTCGCTGGAAACCCAACACTAAAAGAGGACATTCAGAATGTAAATTGTTCTGCCAATTCTTTCTGTCTCACTGCTGTTGTCCATTTGTTCAATCTCTCCTTCTCTTTTAGGGGTCCCTTATGTGTTTTCTAGTATGATTTATTATCTTCCTTCAGACCTCCCTTGGGGTGTAACTAGTCCTCTTTTAAGTCTGAGATTCTCCGTTTCCTGTCATTGTACTAGTCCATTCCTAGTTGCTATAACAAAATACCAGTGTCTAGGTGCTTAATAAAAGCAAGAGATAGTCGGGTGTGGTGGGGCACACCTGTAATCCCAGCACTCTGGAGACTGAGGCTTGGGCTACATGGGGAGAGCAAGGCCAGTATGGACTACATAGTGAGACCCTGTCTTCAGGGTGAGGGGAGAGAGAGAGACAAAGAGAGAGAAAGAGACAGATGGACAGACACAGACAAAGACACAGACACAGACAGAAAGAGATTTAGTTCACAGTTTTGGAAGTTGAAAATCTGCGGTCGGGTGGCTCCCCTGGTTCAGCCTCGAGTGAAGGCCTTATAGCAGTGGCATCACAATGACAGGTACACTTGGTGAAGGTGACAGAAAGCCAGAGGGGCTTGCAAAAATGAACTCACCGTGAGGCCAGTGTTCATCTTTCCCCAGGGGTTTGCCCTGGAGACTTAGCCACCTCCATTAAGGCACATCTCTTAAAGGTTCTGCCACCTGTCACTATTGCCACCCTGGAGACCAGCCCAGCAAGCTCAGGGGACAAACTGCATCCAAATGATAGCACCCACCTCATTCTGTGTTATCTCTTAGCAGCTCCCAGCTGCTTCCCTTGTGGGTAGGAAGAGCTGTCTTAGCCTGCGCCGAGGTGGGAAGGCCCGGCCTGGGAAGCCCAGGCTTCTAGGGTGGAAACCTGATGGAGAAGACCAGGGGCCCCGGGAGCCACCCGCACACTATTCATTGAGTCGAATTAAACTGGTATTTTCACCATATCTGGGTGCTTTGGAGGAAAAGCCTTGATAGGATGGTTTTAAGCCTGTGCAGAAGTCTTTTCTTCCATGCTCCACCCCTCTGGGCTCATGACTAGCACCTCCCCAGAGGTAGGATGTAGGATGAAGCCACAACTGATTCCCTCTCACAGTGGTACTACAGTAGTTCTGGATTTGATCATCCTGCCTGAGTGAAGAGATAAACATAATTTTGATCCCAATTTTTCTTTTAAGGCATTCACTTGAAAGCAGACAGGGTTGTTCCAAAATGAATTTCCTGTGTCATAGAAATCACAGAAGCTTAAAAGGAAAAAACCAGATGTTCACATAGAGCCCGTTCAGGCTTACACATTCTTTCATAGCCAGAGTCAATAGACCTCATGTTCCGTGTTCCCAAAGCCCGCTCGGTTTTTTTTCTCCCTTTATTGAAGGTGGATTCTTGCTGAAATTCAGTTTCAAGTTTAGGAGGAGCTGGGCGTGGTGACACATATCTTCAATCCCAGCACTGAGGAGGCTGAGGCAGAAGGTATCAAGGGTTCGAGGCCAGTCTGGGCTAGATAGTGAGACCTACTCTGAAAAAAAAAAGAGAAAAGTTAGGAGGAAGTAGGCACCAATCTGGGAGTTCATGCACTGGGGTTTATCTGCACCTGTCTGCCCATGTGGGAACTGTCTCGCTGCGGACCTAAGCAAGGTGCTTCAGGGAGATGCTCAAGCGTGGAACATCCAGCTCACAAGCAGTCACCCCTTTCTTGTCAGTGGAAGGCAGAGCTGCTCCAGCCCAGGAAAGCCACACAGACTGAGTCAATCAGAGCTGACCAACTAGATGAATGTGAAGACAGCATTGCCAAGGCATACTCTAATCACTTTCTCTTTAGCACTCCTGGCTCTCTTGTGCTTCTTAGAATGAGAATGCTTCAAGGTCTTGGAGCTGCCTTTGTCCACTAAAATACAGTGCAATTTTCTCAACCAGAAAAAAAAAGAAGACAAAAATATGCTATGAATATCAAATTAGTAGCATCATCTGAAATTCACACCCTGGATTGAGATTACGGCGAGAAAGCTATGCTTAAAACTGTTGATCAGGGCAGTAACAATGGCCCTTACTCGAGTGAATGAAAAAGAGGATGACTGTCAAAGGGGGCCTGATATCCTGACACCCTCCTTCAGGAGCTAAATTCTGTCAGAGGGAGTAGGGACTAAAGAAGGGTGGAGGGACCTGGTTTGTAGGTAACTTTTCGGTTGTTGGATGTCCTCCAGGAGCCTTGTGCTCTTGTAGGCTGGGCTTTTGGAAGGTGATTGGGTTTTAGGGGCTTGTAGCCAACTTGCTGTTAGGAGCTGGCGTTCCCTTGGAAGAGGCAGGTCCCTGGGGGCATGGTCTGGAAGGGTTTGTCTCCCTCTTGATTCCTCCACTGACTGCCTCCTGGCCGCCATGAGGTGAGCAGCTCTCCTCTGCTGAGGCCCTCCCACCATGCTGTTCTGCCTTGGAGTAAGTCAGATATGGATTGAAACCTCTACAAACTGTGAGCCAAAATAAACTTCTCCTTCTTTAAGTTTTGGGTGTTGAGTATTTTGTTCCAGTGACAAAGAAAGTGAGTAAGACAGTTATCTAATTATAGCCCTTGATTCATAGTTATTTACTGCCTTTTGTATGCTAGCAGCTAGACAATGACTATGCTCTTTTTTTTTTTTCTTTCTTTCTTGGTACTGGGAATTGAACTCAGAACCTTGCGCTTGCCAGACAGATAACTGTGCTACTGAGGTATATCCCCGGGCCTAGACAATGTTCTAGAAGCTGACGATATAACAGTAAGGGACAACTAAGTCCCTGTTCTCATTGAACTTACAGCCAAATAAGCATGGAAGAATCAAAATTCCTGACAAGGGAAAGATTGTCTGGTGCTAAGTGTAAGGAAGAAAAGGTGGATGAAGGTGCAGTTGGGGGACGCTACTGTGGACACACTGGACAGGGACTGTGTCTCTCCTAGGTGCATTTGAGGAGGGACCTGCAGCGAGTGATGCAGCGAGTGCTGGGGCAGGTCTTGTGGCCCAAAGCAGTGGTCTTGGAAGACAGAGTTGGGAGTGGATCTGTGGCCAGGCAGGGGCACATCAGCCTGGAACAGCAGGCTCCAGGGAGGCGTGGCCGGTGGGGGAACCCGAGAGTTGTTTAAGCCAAGATCAAGTAGATGGGAAGCTGCTGGAATTTTTGAGCAGACGCGTGTGTGGTGTAATGCAGGTTTTAAAAAAAATTGCTGTGGCTGCTGAAGGTTGAACAGTTTACAGCTGGGTGCCAGCAACAGCAGGAAACAGGAGCCTGCTGCAGGAGGCCGGGTAGGCGAGACGGTGGCTGAATTAGGCAATGGTGGGGCATTGCTCAGGTAGCGCATAGGTGAGCCAACAGAATTTCTTGATGAACTGCGGTGTGTGAGAAAGAAAAAAGAACTAGAGATGATTTCAACCTCTTTTCTGAGCAAGTAGGACAATAGGCTCTTATTTGCTTAAATGAAAGGGAGCAGATTTTGGAGGGACAAGAGAAATGGATTTGGAGATGGTAGTTTTTGATTTGTTTGAGTTAGAATTTCACTATGGAGCCCAGGTTGGCCCGAAACAGGTGAGCCTCCTGCCTCAGCCTGTCAAGTGCTGAGATTAAAGGCACGTGCTACCACGTCTGGCTCACGACTCACTTGAGATCTGATTAGACATCCAAGTGGAGGTGCCAAAGTGGTAACTGGTTATAAGAACCTGCAGTTCAGGAAAACAGGAGACGTTTATCAGTGGGGGCTCGGGTGGAACCCAAAGACGCCATTCATTTTTAAGTTTCATTTTGCTCTGCAGAGATGGTCTTCAGGAGCCCTGGGAACTGTGGAACATCAGGACATGCTTTGAGTCAGGGGTCACCAGAACTATGGACTATGTCTACTCTGTCCCTAGGTCCAGCCAGAGACTTATCCTTAAGAAACCCTTGTGAAGGGCCTCCTGCAAGCGTTGGATACACATACAGTGAAGAACAGGCCACAGTGGCTGTCTTCACAAAATGTCTCCTAGGGGATAAGGCCAAGAGAATGGAGATGTTAGTACAACGATTCAGGGGTAAGATGTGGATGCTGTTGGACACAAAGGAGGGGCATGGCTAACTTTCATGGGGCCAGAAAGAGCTTTCCTGAGAACATGCTACGGGTGAGTAAGGGGAGCTGGGTAAAGGGGTGAAAGGGTGCATGGGGCGTGTTCTAGGAGAGGCAGCAGCACGGGAGCTCAGGGAGTCTGCACCGGTGGAGGACAGAGGGAGGGGCAGTCTCAGACTCAGCACCCTACTAGTGACCTAGGGATGTGTCCACATAATATGAGTCAGGGCTCTGGTCTGTTTTGCTTAACCTCCACTAGAGGCAGATACCCCCCAGAGAGCCAATTCCCTTGATGGAGATGAGGAAAAAGCCGCCAAGACCTTAATGGTGTGTGTGGGGTAGGATGTGGGAAAAAGCAGGGTGGGGGTGGTTCTGAATGGGATGCACCCCGGGGTAGAGCAAATGGTAGTTGTGGGGGAGGGATGTATCAGGCACAGGAGTGGAAGCCAGCAGTGAGGCTCTGAAGCGTGTAAGGCGTGTGCTGAGCAGTGTGAGTTCAGGAAGGGCCCGGATTCCACGTCACGGAGCTGATTGCTGGCCTCGGGTGCTTGTGGGGCTGGATGTGTGTGATGCAATGTTCTCCCCGACTCAGTGTGCAGGTGCAGAGCTCTGGAAAGCACACCATGCAAATACCTACCTGCAGGAAAGGGATTTGCACCCAGCCTAGGCTGTGAGCGTATGCCTTGCGTGGCTGGGGTTGCCCAGACTGCATCTCAGAGTGAACAAGCTACTGGTTCTGCTGGGGACGGGAGAGGCTCTGGGCTCATTCGGCATAGGGCAGGCAGGTATGTAAACATTTTGGTTTTATTTGTCATTTTAGGAAACCTATAGCTTTGGTTAAAAGTTTGCACTAAACGTTTTAAGAAAAATAAATTCACAGCCAGGCACTAATATCTGTTTAGAAAATCAAGGGGTTTGTATCCTGTGATGGAGCTGAGCCGGAGTCCTACTTCGAAGTCTAAAACTTCCCCATTCTGTTTTATTCAACAAACATTTCCTGAACATCTCAGCCCACAGGCAAGACCTGGGCTTTGCTGTATGGACTCGGTTCCCTTCCCTCTGAGCCACCTTAACCTGGGTGCTGCAGTTAAAGCTCAGTTCTGTGTTATTTGTATTGTTCCTTAATTGTTGCAAGGACAGTAATTCCCCTCCAGGGTGGGTGTGTGACCCTCCGGACAGGGGCTATGCAGCAGTGTTTGAGAACAAATGGAAATATGGACATGAAATTGAATGGATTTGATTTATTCCTTTCATAATAAAATCTAGAATCCCAACCTGCCATTTCTGGGAAGGAGGAGCTTTGTGTATTAATGGAACTGGAATTTCCTCTTAATGAAAAACAGAGCTCTTTCCTTTAGGATGACAGTTGAAAGGTAGCAGGAGGTTTTCACGAATGACTCCAGAGCTGAGTCTTCCTTGGGCCAGACAAGTCAGAGAGGGGCGCTATTGACATTTTAGACCGGGCCACTCTTTGCCCTTGGGGGCTGCCTTGTTCCCTAAGGAAGTTTAGTAGCATCCTAGGCTCTGTCACCCTAAATCCAGTAGGTGGCACTTCCTCCCAGTTGTGACAATCAAAAATGTCCCCAAACATTTCTAAGTGTCCCCTGAGAGCAAAATCAGCCCCAGTTGAAAACCCGCATCCTCTAGGAATTTTGGTTCGGGTAATTTTCTTATTTGGCACATTGTGGGCAACAGGGGAAGTACTGTTGGTGCTGATTTGCGAGGCACCATGTCTGCATGATTTTATTTCATCTTCTAGATAAAGAGGCTGATGTCCCAACTTCAAGGCCCTGCTGAAATGTCACGCAGCCAGGTTAGCAGTTCAAGCAGGTTTGCCTTTGCTGAAGAAGCAGCAGGCCTGAAATTGTCCTGTGGTTTCAAAAATCAGGTCGGAAAATATTTTTAAACTTTTTTTGGGTGGGGAGGTATGATTCCACTTGTATTCATTAAATTCACAATATAAATATATACAGTGTGCCCTCAAAATAGACACCCTGGTCCCTGTACTACAGTTGAGGCTCTGGTCTTATCTAGAAAAAACACAGAGCAACACAATGGAATGGCTTCAATTCTACTTGTTACAAATTATACAAAAGCCAGGGCCTAATGGTGCCCAAACAGCCAGTATTGTTTACATAAGGGTTGAATGCTAACAGTTAACTTTCTCCCATTGAATTCCAGAATCGGTAAATAACGCCTTGCCTTATAACTACAAACCAGGGAGATGTCATAAAGTGGGGAGGAGAACACTCAGAAGCAAATGGAAAGGTTGGTTTTCCTCCCTCCCGCCGCGCTGTCCCGCACTGCTACCGCGGCCTTGGGTCCCTGTGGCCGCCCGCCCGCCCGCAGTTTTCTGGCTTCCTCTCCCGCCCTGGGGCAAGCTCTGCCTCTCCGAGGAGCCTGTCCCGGAGCTAGGCCTGGAAAAACAACAGCGAGAAACTTTGGCAGGGTTTGCAGCAGCTCAGTGAAAAAAAAAAAGAGAAAGAAATGCACACCCTCAAGTTTGGTTCGGGGCTGCAGCTGCCAGTTCCGATTTGGGGGCCCAGTCGAGGGGGGGGGTCATCACTCGGTAAGGTTCAAGTGCGCACGTGCACGGAGGGGCCTGGGCACTTATTGAGCGCCAACTGTCTACCCGGGGTGCGCTTTTCCGGCGTGCGGAGGTGGGGTGCGGGGTCAGGGTGGGCGCACGCCTGGGGCGGTGGAGGGAGGGAAGAGGTGGGGGAAAGGGACGGAGGAGGAGGAAGGGAGGGAGGGCGCGTGTCCCCGATCGGGGCTGGCGGGCAGCGGGTCCGCTTGGGTCCGCGATCCAGGCCGGGTTGTGGCCGCGTCCGCGTAAGTGAGCGCTGTGTTCCTGGTAGGGAGGGAGGCCGGCCAGCTGGGAGCGAGTGGAGCAGGTGGAGGGCGCGCTGCCGGCGGCGGGCCGCGTGGGGGGGGGGGCGGAGGGCGCGGGGCGGGGCGGGAGGGGCGGCGCCAGCTGCAGCGGGAGCCTAGCGCGGGGAGGTGACCTGCGCGGGCCGCGGCGCTGCAGCCGGCCAGGGAGGGGGGGTGCAGAGCGCTTCCCGCGCAGTGCGCGCCCGCGGGGGGCCGGCGGCCGGGGGCCGGGGCCGGGGGCGGGGCGCTGGGTGTCGCCTGTCCTCTCCCGCGCCGCCTTGTTTATCTCGTGGGCGCCTGCGCTCCCGACCGAGGACCCTCCCAGCTTTGAGCCGGGTTGGCAGTCACCTCTCCGGAGGACCCTGCACGGGGAGCCCGGCCCTTCCATGCCCCTTCCCCGACCCTTTCCGGCCAGACGCCTCGCTGGCACCTGTCCACTCCGCAACACACCCTTCTCCTGGCGGGTCGGCCCCGCACCCTCTCTCAAGCCTGCTTTGGCCACTACTCTCTCTGGCCCTGTGCCTTCGGCCTGGCTCCCCTCACCCCATGTGCTAGGCCAGGTGGCCTTGCCAGGCGGTGGCACTTTGGGCATGGTGGGTTTCCGGGTGGGGGCCTGGACGGGGAATTTGGCATGTGCAAACAATTTCAGAGGCAGCGTTTCCTTCCCTGCCTCGGAGTTTAGATCTGTGCCTTCCATTGCGGCTAGTGAGAGACATCTAAAGGAGCCCACCTGCCAGGTGGTGGGCACTGCCACGCCTCCTGTTTGTTGCCACGCCTCCTGTTTGTCGGCAGCCTGGCTGGCTGGTTTTGGGGCTCTGGAGACTTCCCAGGCTCTCACACTCCTGCGGTGCAGCTGGGCAGGCGCTGGGTATCTGCAGGCCCTCACTGCTTTCTTCACACCCGCTGTGCAGGAAAGTGTGACTGGGACAGTTTGCTTCAACAGGTATTGGAGGTCTTGGGACACTTTCCCGGGGTGTTGTGTAAACAGAGCCTGAGGATCCTTGAGACAGAGTAGTTATGTTGGACTCCACCAGTCCTTCTGGGAGCTGCTGTGTTCTCAGCAGGACCCCCGGCTTCCTGGGAGATGTCCCAAGAAATCTAAGGCCCCAGGAAGCCTATTCTGTTAGGTGGAAATGACTTTAAGAGCTCAACTTCAGATGCATGAGCCATGGCTTCCCGAGTTGGTGAAGGCCAGGAGCCACAGCAGAGAGAGGAAAAGTCCGAGTTGGGGAAGGCAGACTAGTTTTGGAGGAAGGTGTGCCTGTGGAGGATGCCTCCGTGGCAAGACCCAGAGTTCACAGGAGTAGGAGGTAGAAAGGGCCAATAAAGGAGGATCAGAGGAGCAGTTATGGAGGAGGGAGGATACAGAAGATAATGAAGCGGGCATGTAGCACAGCAGTGGTGCCATACTTGCCTGGCATGTGCAAAGCCTGGGTTTGATCCTTGGCCTTGGGACTTGTCATTTTGTGCAAAGCATGGGAAGACAGGTAGGTGGGAAGTAAGACCTCCAGGTGTGTGGTGGGCAGGTGCAGACACAGGTGCTGTTGCAGGTCAGAGGAGGGCGCTCTCGGAGACCCTCGAGATGGTGACAGTGACCATGAGCATGGCCTTGGCCATCTTGCGTGTTTCCTGAAGATGGAGAGAACAGTGGTTGAGATTGTGCAAGTCCTAGAAAATCAGACTGGGGAATTGCTGTTCTGTCTGTGTGTCCTGGCAGACATTAAAAGTTTTAGGGTCATGGAGGACTGCAAGGAAGGGGTGTTTGGAAAGGATTTTTTTTTTTTTTTTGTCTTTTTCCTTTTTATTGGTACCGAGGATCGAACTCACGACTGCCTGCTTGCAATGCAGGCGCTTATGCCACTGAGCTAAATCTCCAGCCCCTGGAAAAGATTTTGAAAGTAATGTTAGGAGACAGGTCAGCTAGTAAGTTGCTGCACTCCAGGAGTGCCCAGGGTTTGCATTGGATTTAATTGGAAATGAAAAAAGGGTGAGACATTACCGTTGACAGGGCCAGGGTGAAGGGAAGAGATGAATGGAAATTAATTCTTTGTGGAAATTGATTATATGCCAGGGTCTTAGAGCCACTGTAGCTGGCAACTCGAGAAATCGAAAATGTGTGTTTTGCAGAGAAGTAACTGACACTCAGGCTGTGTGGAAGTTTCTGTGTTTGCCAGGATATGCAAGTGTAAGTGCGCTGCCAGCAACTGCTGCACCAGGCTTGTTGGGAACCCCAGGGATAGAGTGTTAGAGAGAGCAGGCATTCGGTGGTCAGAGAGGTAGCTGAGGATGTCCGGCCTGGGAGGTCTGTTTGTTGGGGTTGGGATCCTGCAGTTCAGGCTGGCCTGAAACTCACTGTGTAGCCCAGGCTGGCCTTGAACTCATGGCTGGGATTACAGGCATGTACCACCTGTCATTTTCACCTCTTTGTGTTGCTGCCATTTACATGACTCTGCCTGGTCTTGACCTTGAAGTTGGAGAAACAAGTCTGAAGAATCGGGGCTTCTGGGAAACTGGGGCCATTTATTCTTCTAGGCATGAGGGTGCATGCAGTTGGAGGTTGGAGAGAAGCAGCATAGGATTTGCTAAAGGTATATATTGTTGGACTTTGAAGTGTGTTGAACTTTGGACTCCACCAGGATCTTCAGCCTAGTCCCATGTTTCATTCCTGCAGGAGAGAGGGGGTGGGTGGAGATTTGTCGCTGGGGGTATTGACTTCTCTAGGGCTTGGCTCTTCCTAGCCCATGCAGTCGCCCATTCCCAGGAGTCTGGGGACCTGCACACGGAAGGGATCGGGTCCTTTTTTGCTGAGTACTGAATTCTGCTTTCTTGTTGCACGGGTGACTTAGGGTGATTTGCTGAACAAATTCCCCAAGCCTCAACTTGCAACATCTGAATTTGGAGGATGGTTGCAGAAGGCTGCAGAATGAGCCAAGAATGTAACTAGTGACTTAGCCTCCTTGTTTCTCTGAGCTGGAGGACCGGTGCACTGGTAGGGGAACAGAACTTAGGGGAGGAGACCTGCAGGGGTGTGGATCAGAATTTTTTTTTTTATGGCAAATGTCTGACTGTGTGAAAAATAATTGTATGTGAGTGAGCAGTGGTTGAGCTCACTTATTCCAGAGCAGTGTTTTCTGTACTGTTCTGGCTGTGACCTACATTAAGAAATAAAATTTACATTATGACCCTGTACATACAGCATGTATGTTACAATATAATTTCAGTTCATGCAGGGCTACCTCCCTTTGCGTGGTCCCATCTTCTTGAACATTTTTTTGGGGGGGGGGTCTGTCTTACTGTTTTTCATTAGAAGAGCAGTTGTTAGCTGGGCATGGTAAGACATGCTTGGGAGGGAGGTTGAGACAGGATTGAAAGTTCAAGGCCATCCTGAGCAACTTAGGGAGACCCTGTCTAAAAATCAAAACAGCTGTTGTTCCTAAGTTCATGGAGTTATTCTCTGATGAAATAGTGGGTCACAATGCATGAACAGTTTGAAAAGCCCAGAATTTTCACATTCAGTAAACATTTATTAAGTCGTGCGTGTGCGAACATACCCTTCGCAGTACTAAAGGTAGAAAGGTACAAATGAGAGATAGAAACTGTTCAGTCTTTTTGGAGGTTTAAGGCACGGCTTGGATTAAGGAGCAGGGCGAGATGATTAAATGCCAAAAATGAAAAACAAGTGCCTGCAGTGTATGAAAAAGGGGTGGTAGCCAGGGATTTAGTTCAGTAGCATAATCGCCTGCCTGGCAAGTGTGAGGTTGTGAGTTCAATCCCTGGTACCAAAAAAAAAAAAAAAAAAAAAAAAAAAGAGGAAAAAGGGATCATGATATGTGTAGTGTAGATAGAAAAAATTCTTGGGATGAAGGAAGTCTGGAGTGAACAGTTTGGGTGTCTCAGATGTCTCATGGGAGAAACTCATGTGCAAGTTAGGAGTTAGGAGCGAACACAGCATGTGCGTGTGGGTGTGAAGAACATGGGACTCTTGTGATAGAGCAGGGGGAAATTAGATTGGACAGGTAGGAAGTGTAGGTCTTTATTAAGGGGGGATTTGTAGAAATTTCCAAGCCTATATGCTGTTACAGTTTGGATAGCATAAAGGCTTTTAAACATTAGGAATAATCCAGAAAATCTGTGGGCTCAGATCTGACCGTCATTTCCAGCAGACGGGTGGTCATTGCCTATGGAAAGGGTCAGGCCTGCTGCTCCCAAGCATCAGGATTCCAGCGTCCTCTCTTGCCTGCCTGGGTCCAGTTGCTTGGCATTCCTCACTGTGTCCCATCGGCATTTGGCTTTGTGACCTCAGTTTTCAAGTCTTGGATGCCATGCTGGAGAATGTGTGCTGCTGTCACAGCATGGGCCATGGGTGCCCCCCTCTTCACCCCAAGGATTCTGGCAGGAGCCAGAGACTGTGGAATCCGAGGATTCCAGCGCCATGCTTTGCTTTAGGCCAGTGAGCAGCTCTTGCTGGGGAGCTGCTGGCTGGGCCTTGGAAATATTTTCATGATGAACAGCATGGTATTTACTAGAGAGGGCTTTGCCTTGTCATCTAGAAAGCAAGGCAGACTTTTAGTGATCTGAAGTTCTCTCCTGCCTCTACTTCTGGCTGGCGTGATTAGATCGTGGCTCCTGGCATGTCGCTCTAAAAGGCATGTTGGGGTTATGAGTTGGTGAGTTGTGAGTCACAGCTGTCAATTGCCTTGCGACATTAGATTCTGAGATGCTTTGGTTTTGTGGGCCCATAAAAGAAGACCAAGGAGAAGGGGGAGCCCCAGCGGGGAAGGGTGCATAGTCTGGAGAGGTTCATAGTGGCTGCAGAGTAGCTGGCTCAAGCCCAGGTATTAATGCATATGGCTACAGAAGAGTAGGTGTGTTTGGGGCAGCTGGTGTGGGAAGTCTTTATGGCTGAGGACACTCTGGCTTTTCCAGGAGTCCTAACTACCCACCATTCAGAGCTCCTCCCA